AATATGCAGAAGAAAAAAAAAAGGGGGGGGGGGAGGATTAGAGGAAAGAAGCTAATATAAATCGGTAGAGGTTCTTTTTAGCAAAGAGGTCCCGTCTTTGATCTCTGCTGGGTCTTACAGATCTGCCTCTTAGAGAGAGAAAGGAAGAGAGAAGGGGGGAGAGAAGGGAAGAGGGAGGAGAGATCTTTGGCAGGTGCAGAGTGAAAACCTCTTTCAGCTACACTGAATTCTGGAGACTGGTTGGACTAGTAGCTCTGCAGCTCCAGCTTTCAGTGGGTGTGTTAAATATTATGAGCGAGCCATGATTCCTGCCTTCCTCACGTCATAGTTAGGAGATTGGCTAAATAAATGCTACAGTGATAGTAACAGGAAAACCTCAACCAAAAGCGGGGTTTTTTTTTTGCTCTTCTCTCCTCCCTCCTTCCCACCCCCCTTTTCATTCTACTGCAGCTCCAGCTGGGGCAAGGAGAGGGCGTCTGTTCCACAAAGGTTTGCGAAATAAAAAAAAAAGGAAAATAATAAAGTGGTAGCAGAAAAGGGAATCTGTGCTAATAGCGTTGCAAAGTATGAGTGCGGTCTGTGTGCCCGGGCTGGGAGCAGCGATTCTGCTCTGTCATCGTCCGGGCTGGAGAGCGGCCAGCTGCCCGATCCCCCTCGCACCCAGCCCCTCGCCGGAGCAAGGTCAGCCCGGAAAGCTGCGTGCTCCGCTGCCGATGGAGGAACAGTCTTTATTTTTAATCGAAGATCCAGGGCAGGCTCCGGAGCCCAGCCAGTGCCGTTGATGGTTGTCTGACGTCTAGGGCAGTCTGGAGGAAGGGACAAGCCACTCCAGTGGTCTTCAGGTGATCAGGCAGGGGTGTTCTGGGCTACTGGTTTTGTCTTTGGGGGGTTGTCCCCGGGATATCATGGTCCTTAGCAAGGCTCAAACTGTCATCGCAGGGGGCTGCAGTGGGAATGAGAAAGGTAATGTGCTTCTGCCTGCCCACCACCACCTTTCCACAGAATCATCTCAACACTGATTGTGCTGGCCAGTTTTTCCCTGTGTTAAGCAACATTAAAGTATTTCTTTCCCCTAAAACTATTCGTGCCCCCCCTGGCTCCATCCAGCACTGTTCCCTGACTCAGCGCTTCTGCAGAGCCTTGTGCTCTGCGCTGCCCTGAGGCACATCCATGCGCTGTTACAGCGTCACCAGGTTTTGCACAAGAGAATTCACTGCTTTTCCAACGGGAAAAAAAGATTGATGAAGCAAATAAAGATTGATGAGGGGAAAAAAAAGAGCTGTCAGGGCCATAATCCTATGGACTGCTCTGTACCTTTATGGAGGAACATCACTTGCTGTGCTAGGGGAAACTCTTGGTGCCAGGGTTCAGAGGTACAGCTCACTGTAGATGCAGGACTTTGATTCCAATGGAAGCCATTATGTCACCCTGGATCCTTCAAGTTCAGATGTACTTAATCATAGCAAACCATTTCACTATGGAGCCAGAAGCAAAGTTTTACATCTTTTTCCACTTTTTCATCAAGATCAGCTCAGTTAAAGGGCGTCTGGTCAGTTGACTATGAGGACCTTGAGTGCCATTGCCTCCCACCACTGCTCAATAGCATGGTTCTGCTTGGGAAATGAAGTTTGGTTCATAAGTTAACTACCTCTCTATGCAGTGAGCTAAAGTTCAGCTGATTTTAACCTAGTTTACCGAGTTGGCATTTTAGGTCCATCAGGAAGAGCCTTACAGTTTTGTTTCAACTGGAGAACCCACGGCTGCTGGAAGGGGATAGGATATGTGATGGGGGTGCAGCATGAATGGCATGTGGAAGACTCTGTTTGGTTTTGGGGTTTATTTTTGCCTGCTGGTGGCTGCAGCCTTCCTCCTGCTGAGCTTCTGATGCTGTCTCCTAGGGAAGTCAGCTGAGCTGGATTATAAATCAAGCCCAAGGAGACAAAAGGAGGCAGGTGGAAGCTAAAGGCTGTGCCTCTGGGAGTGGGGTGATGGAAGGGGGCAGCCAAAGTTGGTGATCCAGGAAGGGCGAGTGCAGGGTACACAGTTCCCTGTGTATCACTTCCATTCCCTTTACTGTGGCTTTTTTAGGGGTTTCTGGGTGATCTGCTTGTAGCACTTCATGTAAGGATAGATGCTATGACATATTATCTGCTTTAGCATGGCACAGCAAGGTTTGTAGATTACAGGTGGTAGCTACAGGGATTTTTTTTTTTCTTAATGTCTGACCTACTAAAGCTGAAGGCTGTGGTATTAGATATGGGGTGAGCCTGAACAGGTATGATGAAGAGAAAGTTGAAAATGCCTTAAATGGGTTCTTTAAGTTAAAGTTTACATCTGTTACCTTTCAGTAACAGAACGTTGTGGTAAATATGCCATAATTCCACATGCAAGAGTTACACAATGAAAGTGAGCTTAGCTTTGAAATAGAATATAAGCAACTAAATGTAATTCATTACATGGTTTTCAAAAGGTGAAATAGCAGTATCATGAAGAAGTAACTGATTCCTTGAAACAGCATTTTTTTTGTTCTCAGCAGTATGACCTTTGGTGCATATTGGCTAGCTGATTAAGTATGGTTTCATCTAAATTGCGTCTGGCTGTGAACTGAATCTCCTGAACTCTCTTCCATGAGCTTTTTGTTCCTTAAGCCTTTCAAACATCTGAGTTTTATATGAGGATGGGGAGACTGGTGGATGTACCCTATTCCCCTCTGTAACTGGCCTTTGTGGACAAATTTTGCCAGGACCAAATTTCCTGAGAGATGTTAATGAAGGAGAGCTGTCTTAATCCTCTGCATTTCTTCCCTCACCTAACTTCCTTTTTTTTGTGGGATTCAGAAGAACTAAGTCTCACTTGTGAAAGATTATGCTTACTACTTTAGGGGAGCTCTTCTACAGAGTAAATAGCACCCATATGCTAGTGAAGTCATGATGCTGAAAGAGCAAGTGTCAGCAGCTGGAGGATCTCCTGTGATGATCTGCAGTGGAGTTATGGTTCTATTGGCCTGCAGCTAACTGCTTTGAGGTGCCCATCAAGGACAAGGGACACCTCACCCCAGTTTGCTAAATAAGCAGTAACACCTGCTTTTAGCAAGTCCAACTGAAAAAAGACCTATGGATTCTTTCAATGCACCATTTTCAAGTACCCCTCTTTCTCTGGTGATTTAGGAGGAAGACTGCTGGTAACCCAGATGTGGGCAGCAAAGGAGGGCAACTTCTGCTGTGCTCCTCCCTTATACCTCCTGTGGGTCACTTGGGCTGATGCAATTCTTATATGGACAAGAGGATGTCTCTTGGCTCTGGTCACAGCCCTGTCAAATTATTGTGAAATAACTTACAAACTGGTTAACTTAGGCTGGCTTCAGCGTGAAGTTCTCTGTTCCTGTTGACATCTGCAGGTATATTTTTCCTTAAATTGCCTGGTATCTTTCAGGCTTCAGTCTTTCCCAGCAGGGATGAGCAGATGCTGTTACCTGAATCAGATTTCTCTTTTGTCTTCTTATTCAATGCAATAAAGCAAGCTTTAAAGGAAAATAACATCAAATAATTTTTTGTTTCTCAACTTCAGTATCTACAAACACCTTTACCCATCAATGTGGTCATCTGTGAAATAAGACACACTGGCTAGTTGGCAAACTCTCGCAGAGAGTGAGCTTGTGGCTTTGCTTTGGACTAAGGGGCAATGTGTAATTCTCTATTTCATGAGCCTTTCTTCCTCCTTCCTGGAGACTATCTGTTAATGACCAGCACCAGTAGTATATTACAGCCCCTTTGTGCCTCTAAGCTGTGCCGACTGGTGAAGCAAGGGAATGAAGCCAAGACATGTCTAGCTTTTGCCTGTCCTGTGTGGGCTGCATCTCTAGCACATCTCAACACGAGAAGGATACCAGCCTCCCTGCTTTCCCATTGATCTTTCCAACAACTAGATGCAAGAATACAACCCTGCCCTTGCTCTGGAGCCGCTGTGAGTGAAGCAGCTCCTCCTGCCTCTCTAATCATCACAGAGTAAGTGAGAATTTCATGTTTGAGTTCGTCTTGGTGGCCATGAGGGGTTGGCAAGGAGCCTGGTGTTTGGGCCAGGCTGGAGATGGGAACCTGAATATCTGCTGGGGTGGCTTGTGGTCAGGAAGCCACAGATTGTAGATGCATGAAGCCACTGAGATAAGTCAGGAGCAGGGCAGCAAGTACACGATAAGTGGCAGGCAGGCTCAGGGAACAGGTCTAAGGTCTACCAAGGCTGATGCACCTTCCCAGGATGACCTCATTGCTGACTGTGGGCAAGTCTGAGCTTTTGTGCTTGTGCTGGGATCTGGAGT